CCGGACGTCCACAACCCAAGCGCAGGCCTGCCAAACGCAAACCCACCCACGTCGATCGCGGCAGCTCGCAGCGGCCAACACCAGACGCCCCGTTTATGCCAATGGCAGGGATTGCTGCCAGGTACTGGTTTACCCACACACCCAGCTGGCAACAAGGAGCAATCATTTTATGTGCTCACGCACATCTCCTTGCTTTAAGTCTTCATGCTTTCCTCTCCCACCTCAGCGCGCTCCAAACGTGCTGATACCATCAAATTCTGCTCCGCGGGACCTGCCAAGCTCAGGTGCTTCCAGCAGTAGAAACCAGTCAAAGTGCAACACCCCTGCCCCGCGGCAGCCAGGCTGCGGGAGCGAACAAGAGCATCAGGCTCCTCTCCTGAACCCCTTCTGCCACTTCAGCCTACACAGGCTGCAACCCCCTCTGGATTAGGCTCGGAGAGGAATGCACAAGCCGGACACATCTGCGATTCCAACAGCAGCCAGCAATTTGCTGTCAGCCAGCAGCTCGAGCTTTAATCAAGCCCAGCGTATCCAAGCGGCAGGACACGGGCTCGCGTGAGCTGCTTTACATGCCCCCGAGCAACATCCCGGAGAGGGGCAAAGCGGACACAGGGAGGGGTTTGCAAGCAGCAGCAGAGAAGCAGGCACAAGGAAAAGCGACAGGGGTGCGCAGGGACAGAGCAGCAGCATGCAGTGGCAGAGGGAGGAAGCAGCAGCAGCCGCAGCAGAGTTTGCTTCCAGAAAGGTTGGGAGTCATGGGCCGAACGTGGTCACTGGCACCACGTACTCAGCGATGCCGTTCCTTGACAATCCTGCTTCAAGTTTTCCCAGAGTAATGGGATCTGATCAGAGCAGTGTTTGTCTCGGGGAAAACTTGTATCAAAGCACACATTGGCCTCTGTAGTTTTTATCTCAACAGTTTTATCTTAAACACACAGGAGGATTTCTTCACACTGTCTGCAACTTTCTAGATTCAGATTCTTGAAAAAGTAAACCCTTCATTGCCTGCTCTGGCGTGTGCTACAGATCTGGGAGATAGCAGAGTTTCCTCCAGCAAGGGACGAGGATCCATTTGGGTGAAGGAACCCAAGAAGTAACAATCCTCAGGGCCAGACAGAGGGGACGTCAGCTCTGTCAGACACCGAGCCATCGCACGCCCAAGCCATCTCTTCTCGGCACGGGTGAACAGCATCTCAAGCAAGAGGTTTTAGTCACAACTGAGACTTTAAAGAACCACTTTCCTAATGACAACAATGTTATCTTTAAACTAGACTCTTAAACATGCATCTCTCCCACTCCACACAAGGTCGAGCAACGTTTAATTAAGGTGGCAAAAACTGGGCTATATGCAGGAGCATATCTGCATGTTTTGCAGAAGCTGATAGCACATATGTACTTTAGGAGAACAGACCGTAGGGTCGGTGGTGTCAAGACCCAACCTTTGGAAAGGCTCATCTCAGCTTGGCCTCACCTACCAGCTGCCTCCTGCTGGTCACCTTTCCTTCAGCGTGTCCTCTCTCACCTAAGTCCAAGCTCCGCTTCCATCAAATGACAGCATCAGACACAGAAGACTTAATGGAGCACCCTGAAAGAGCTGCACGTTTAGCCCTACTTATCAGGCACTCGGAAACCAAGTAATTCACATTGCCACTACATATTAATAGTGACTTTCTGTTCATTGTTGTTCTAGTTTTAAAAATACATATCTCAAATCCAAAAATCACGTGGCAAGGGGGCATGCAGGAGTTGCACAGGCTTGGCTGTTTGTGTGCTGCTACACTGTGACAGCTGCAGCCCAGAAGCACACAATTTGGCAATTGTTTATGATGCCAAAGGGAATATGAGGAAGGAGAATAGTTCAAGATGTCTCAGGAGTTGAACCATTGCCCTTCAAACCAGAGGGAATAAAAATTGCTAAGTAGCAAAACCCTCCAGAACTAACTAATCTGCCAGGGGAACTCTCTTTGAAATGTCACTGTTAAAATAATTGATTTCTACTGCTCTTGCTATCCTGGCTGAAGACATCCGAGCGAGAAAGTAAGCAAGCCTTTGCCTTTCCCAGACTGAAAGTCAGGAGGAATTTCTAAATATCCTCTGAACAAGTCAGAGGACGATGGCCACACACTAGCCTGCAGGCTGGCATGCCCCTGTGACACTGCACCCGGACAGGAAGGAGGAGGGCGGAGGATTCCCTTACTCCACCTTCCAGAGATCTCTGCTCATCCGACTTCCCCTTCTTGGGCTCTGCGCCGTCCTATTCGGCACACTTGTGACACAATCTCCAGAGAAACCTAGCTACGAAGCCTCGACACCCACAGAACTTCTCCTGGAGCTGGTGACAGATCTCCGAGCAGATGGCTGCAGACCTGGGTTAGTACCCAGCTCTGCAGAGACTTTTTTTAAAAGCCTTTTGTAACACTTGCTGGTGTCAGCAGCTACAGCATTCCCCGGTCTTCATTTGCGCTCTGCAGCACTAGACACATGAAAAGATCTCAGCTCATGGACATGGTAGATAAGGATAGAGGTCTCTGACGTTGGCATAATCACGGATTTCAACCCTTCAAACTACTGCACTAGTGTGGACTTTGACATAAGACATTTTATCAAGTATGTGAGTCACTTAAGTGTCTTTACATAACTAGACAAGGAAGTTTTAGGGCAGTACCACTTTAGTTTAGTGAACTAGTTTTCCTGGGCTCTGCAGTTAGCGGACAGAGAGGTTTCTTCCAGAGCTCATCTCTCCGCATTGACCACAGATGGATTTAGCAAAATACACCGTCAGACATGGGAAGGTGGATGGTGCAAATGCCTCTCTCTCGAGCTAGCTCAAGTTCACTTTTTCACTAGACGCTTAAACTGCCGAATGGAGCGCATTCTCCATACTGAACATCGGGGGACTTCAGCAGTTTTATTTCAGCTGCTTTATCTGTTTTGATTCAGCAAATGCAGACACTACCATGCATTCCTCACTCTTCCAGATTACCATACATTGCCATTTCAGTGCACTATTCACTGCTTGGGCCCTGCCCAGAATAGATCGTTTTTTCTAAGCCTCCAAAGTTTTAAGTGCTTTTGCAAACAGCAGTAAAGCCTAATGAAAACTCTCCAGCATTCCTAAGTTCCAAGCAAATGACTTTATTCCATTATACCAAGCCAAAAGGAATAAAGACTAACAGGGAGTAGAGGGGAATATTAAACAGAGCGCGCTGTCACGAGCGCAGAGAGTCACTTATCCTCAGGCACCGTCGCTCCAGAACGACTCAGGCCGGTTCTAGAGTGCCTTTGCTGCAGAACGCGGTAGAGACTTCTGTTCGCTTACGCACAGATTACAATGACTTTCAAAATAAAAACCTGACGTAATTTCATTTACAACTAAGTACCAAAGCTAAACTAGACTCAGAAGGAGGACATTGGGGTTATATTTTTACATCCTGCTCATCTGAAAAGGAAGGCACAGCTAGAGATTACAGAAGCAGCCAAACCAAAACTGAAACACTTGGGCAACAGAGTTGAATTCAGAAATTAAGTTCCCCAACCAGCCCCTTTTGCTACCACAGGCCCAAGAACAACCCAGCGCACAGAACAAACTCTGCAGCTTGAGCCTAGCATTAGTAAACATAAGAACAGCCAGCGGAA